AATTTCAGCCATCCATATTACCATCTCTTCCTACCTCTTTCCACGAATCACCAAAACTAACACCACCACGACCCCGTATGCTTGTTCCAGCATCCAATAAACCCCAACCGGACCGTAGTAGTGATCAGATCCCTGGTACCTGGTGGCGTGGCTCACGTGGACGGCAGACTGAGACCTGGTGATCGTCTTCTTTTCGTGAATGACATCGCCCTGGAGAACGCGACGTTGGACCAAGCGGTGCAGGCGTTGAAAGGCGCCCCAAAAGGCACCGTACGCATCGGTGTCGTGAAGCCATTGCCAATTCCAGACAGTATTGCCCAGGTGAGCGATCAGGAGGATCGGATCGAGCCGTGCGCGGATAGGGATAACGAGACTGATACGTGCTCGATCATGGACAGCCATAAACAGAGGCGAGAATATTTCAGGGAGCGTAAAGTGAACGTGATCGAACCGCCCCATCACATGGATTTGATCGAGGGATTGAAGCATCAGCACAATCTTGTCAAATCCGAGAGTTTCTAAGCCAAGTGTTCAAATGACACTTTGTCGCCCGTCTTTCTGTCTGTCTGCTTGCTCAAATTGTTGTCCTTCAGAGATTATTCAGCCTCTGTTTTGACCACGTGTTCAATGACGCTCCGCGATTCGCGTGTCTTCGAGACGATCGACCTTCCCGACGAAACTCGTTCGCACATTATAATTTGTTCCGTTTTTCTTTTCCGACCTGTTTGTCTTTTTTTTTTTTTTTTTTTTTTTTTTTTCAACGCTCCGCGATTCGCGTGTCTTCGAGACGATCGACCTTCCCGACGAAACTCGTTCGCACAGTATAATTTGTTCCGTTTTTCTTTTCCGACCTGTTTGTCTTTTTTTTTTTTTGTTTCTTTCTTTTTCTCGTCGTGTCGTCTTGCTGTTTGGTCTTCTCTTGGACTATGAATCAGAGAAGAAGCTTGAAGGTTTTCTCCAGGGTCGTTCGCGATTCCAGGACGATTGTGCAATGATTCCAGCAAGTCTCCGTCCAGTAGTGACCTCCGACACGATCTATGTCGCGTGAAGAAAATTCTTTTTCCAACTCGATTCAAGTTCAACGTTTCATCGTTAGAAAAGTGTCGAAGCTTTGAAGAATCTACAATTAGTCGTTCGAGGCCACTTGCCCCACTCCCAGTGTCGTCACGAGTGATATTTGGTTGTCACGTGCTCTTGGCAATTTTTAATAAAAAGCAAGAATGAGATAAAAAATTTTATTTCACGCTGCTTTGAATCTTTGAAAAAAAAGAAAAGTATAGAATATTTTTATACGTGAAATTTAAGATAGATTATGCGAAAAGTAAATAGTGAATGAAATTTGAAAGAAATTACGCTCATGTGCTGGGAGAATATTCCTCGGTGGTCTTGAACGTTCATTTCATTTCAGACAGACTGTAATCCAGTATTAGATTACAGTTTTCTGATCTTGATTTAAGATTACATTAAAGAACTTGAATTTCACGCGACAACGAACGTGTTCACACCTGTCTAACGTTTCAAATGGTACTTAATTTAACTTTTTATCGAAGCGTTGATCAACAGAGTTACTTGCACAAGTGTTTCTAATTTATTAATAGTGATACATAGTGTTCAAACGTGGTTTTATTAGAAAAGATTCAGTTGTTTCGTCCGATTCAGCGGGGCACAAGAAACGAATTTGGAGAATCGAGACCACTTTTGATACGATACGTAGTGAAACATTAGAGAATAGTGTTGTATGGTGAAATACGTAGACTTTTTTTCTCGAAGCTTTTCCTCTTAGGCTTCTACTTCGACGAGTTTTTGCAGATTCTTTTCGTTCGCCTTAAACGAAATTCTGGAATTGTTTGTTTTACGATTACGGCACGAATTAATCGACTTTCCTTTTTGTTTTAGAGAAGTATATAAGACTGTCTGTTATTCTGACCAGCGTAATCTGTTACGCGGATCATTGTCTTTGATAAGTGTACAATTTACGAGTGATGCATTTTAGCGAAGAAAATTGATGCGGCATTTATATTGAAATTGATTGAAATTAAACAACGAGAAGAATTCTTTTCTCTTGAATTTCGAATAAAGATTTTATGAGCGTGTATGAATTTTAACGATAATAAATAGGGAGCCGTACAGGTTGTTTTTATTTTGTTTAACACCATCCATCCTTACCCAATTCCTTTCACGTTTCTTTTTTGTCGTGTGTTGTTAATTTAATTACTTTGTTAATTCATTTCTGTTCCTTTGGACCACTTTTTATTTCGATAATTTTTATTCCATTGTGTTATTTTTCTTCTTCCTCTTTTAAATTAAAATCTGTAGAATGTGTTTCAAAGTGAATGCACAATATTTCAAGAGATTATTAAGTAAATCATTTCAGAGAGAAAAATCTAATGATGCATTGTCGTAAAAATTAATTAGATTTATCGCTCGAAATGGCTTCTAAATGATTTCTCATATTCGATTTGAAACATCTTGTAAATGAAAAAAAAAGCGTGAATTAAATAGAAATTGTTTAGACTGTTCTTTGAATTTAACGCGATGAACGATTAGAAGCATGATTGAATTTCATTCAGTTCTGTAGATGCGTAGTTGGAAATGAAGAAAATCTATTGTCGTCGTTCAGCCGCGGAATCAGTTTGAGCTGATCGATTTTCTTTCGGGCTGTTAAATTGAAAACCAAGTCGTCTGCAAGAAGAAACACCTGAAGCGAGTTCAAAGCTCTTTAGTAAACTGATGCACGTGATTCGTACCTAATTCTGTGCAATGCTCGTAAGTTGATAGATTTTCTTCCTTTTTCAATCCTTTCATTCCTTGGACGTATTCAAAATATTTCTGTTTGTTTATCAAATTAATTATACAAGTTTCAATATTGGTAAAATATGTCAAATATTTTCTTCAACAATTTAATGGAAAATGTGAAATAGAATGGCTTCTTTCACGAATGTTCATTTTCGAGAGCATCGAGTTTGATCTCATCGAGATCAAAATATTTGATTTCTCTTTCTGACGATTTTCAAAATTTCACATACGAAGATTACTCTATTATTTTTATCTAATTTGGAAATACTTTGTTTTTACATTCTTCTTGTGCCGATATTATTCAGTTGACTGATTACGGTGGAATTGGCGTTTTCGAAATTTAAATAAAATTCTGTAGAGAGAAAGTGAGAGAGGAGAGAATTAAGAAGGAACGAATAGCGGTGAAATGGTTCGTATAAGGAATACGTTTTTACGTTTTAACCCTGTTCCTGTAACCTTATGAATGTTTTCTTAAAACAGTACTTAATTTCAAAAATCTCCAATTAATCTTCCAAACGACTCACAAATTATACCGTTAGAAACTCAGTTACCAAACATTGTAGTCGAGGATCTTTTTCTATTGGTTACTATAATTGTTATCTAACATTTTTCTTTTTTTCTATAAATCTTCTGAACGACTCATAAATAATGCTTTCAAACACCCAACTATCCAACACAATCACAGCACTTAACAAAAAAGTATACTCATAAAAATTCTCAATTGACCTACTAAAAAAAACCTGATGTAGCACTTTTTCCTATGTATCTTCCTAACGACCCACAAATTGTGTTTTTAAAGACCTAACACAATCGTAGTACCCAAAAGAAAAAATATAGAAATCCTCAACTGATTTACTGAACTCTTTTTCCTATAACTCTTCTTAACGACCGATATTTTAAACCTTTATTATCGAACACAATTATAGTACCCAAGAGAAAAAATATAAAAATCCTCGATTGATCTTCTAAAAAAAAGATTTCTGTAGAAAATCTTTCAAACGACTCATAAACTACCAACTTTAAAAATTCAATTACCGAGCACAATACGAGTACCCAACAGAAAACCATAAAATGCTGATCGATTAAAAATAAAAGAGAACAGGGTCAAAGCTTGGCAACAAATCGCCCGTGCGAGCCAGTTCATCTCGAGTCGAAGTTGTGTCAGTGAAACGATGATGCAATAAAGGCTAACTCGTTGAAGGAAACGAGCGTCCCTCGTGTCGTGGCTGCTTGGATCTCTTAAGGTCCGAGCTATATCGATCGCGGAAACGAAGACTCTTAGTCTGTGGCTGGGCTCGGATAACGAAATTATCGGAGCGCAGTAAATCGTTGATAAGAAGTGAGAGAGAGAGAGAGAGAGAAACGATAGAAGAAGTCGTGACAAGTGTGCGAATTCCTGTGTCGAGAGACAAATTAAAAAAATGAAAGAAAGAGAAAAATTAAAAAAAAAAAAAAACGTGTACGTGAAGAGAAAAGGGGTCGCGTGAACCAAAAAAAAAAAACATGAATGAGAAATGACGATTATTATTCAGTATAGTTGTGCAATTACCGCGGATGGGTATATAGAATGACCAACCATCGAGACTACTAAGTAAGTACTGAACAAAACGATTGTAATAGTGAATGAAAGTTGCCTGGTAGAGTAGCTGAACAAAACGAACGAGTATAATTATACTTTTGCATTCGATTGACTCTTGTCTTCACCTGTCCTTCGAACGAGGCTCACATCGTACACACGTGCACACGCCACACGAGTGACACTCATCATCATACAGCCACGTGTATGCGTATACAGAAACCTAACTATATAAATAGCGATCTTTGTTACTTTTGTTTCTAGCGAATTTTTTTGTTTCCCTTCTTTCATTTGTATCTTCTTTTTCACGTTTAAGTTCTGTGTGAGTTATATTACATTATATTATAGTTTCACGTTTAGATATTCACGATCTGGCGTTTAGGGGTGAACAGGAGGAGGAGTGGATAAGGAAGAGAAAGGAATGTTAGAAAGTGGAATCGGTTGGTACAGAAACAATGGTCAATTTTAAATTTTATTCCTGATGGAATGGAAGAAATTTTGTTCGTCAATTTTTCGAGTAGTTTTCATTTGAGAGCCATTAACTGTGAAAGTTTGAACTCTTTTTTATGTTTATATTGTATAAATAAAATACAGGATGTAGATTTTAAAATTTGCGAGAAATCCACTGTTCTTAACCTTTTCACGACGGCGAAACTAGCCATCAGTACACCACTAATGAATGGGTCTCGCATTTTTGGAGCTTCCAGTGTGCCCGTGTAAGATCTTAAGAGAATTTCGTTGGAACAGCAGAGGACTTAAGGATGTATTGGATAAAGGCAATGTTGTTGAGGCCTTGTTCTGTATTTTCAAATAAATCCACTAATAAATCTTCACTTTGAGTTGTTTATTGGAAATTATGAAACAATGATAGATATATTTAGTAATATGTTTGAGTATGGTAAATTTTAAAACAGGGATACACACACAATCCAACGTCACATTCATCGCACTGATAACGTGATTCACGTCTCTTATTATTTTTGCTGCAAACAACGCATCTTCGTAGTTTATTTTTCCCTGAAGATGTATACGGAGTAGGAAAGTGTTTTCCGATGAGTCTTAATTCGTTATTACTACCACAGTTTGTAGAATGTCTCGTCCTCGTCTTGTGATATTTTGTCAGTATTTGCTCGATTAACTTTAGATAGAATTGTGCCATGGATATAGGTGCACCGGTTTTCAATTTATATAAACAACAGGCATTCCACAGGCACAGATCTATCATATGAAAAAAATATTTCTTGAACCATTTCATACTCTTGCACATTGACCCAATTGTGCTTATTACCATATCGGTTTTGTCAACTATTCCCATGAATTTGTTGTAATCGCATACGCAAGATGGTTTCTGTACCATTTCTTCCTTTCTAGAATGTTTTGGCATGCTCACGAACTCCTCTGTGTGCATAGTGGATAACATGTAAACGTCTTTCTTATCCTTCCATTTCATTGCTAATAAGTTGTCAGATGAGAGAAAAATCACTTCTCCTTCTTTTAGCTTTTTCTCAATTCTTGACATTCCGTGTCTCCTTTTCCTTACAGTACCACACGCATTTGTAGCATTCATATGCAAACAGTTAAATAACGCTGGACTTGTGTACCAATTGTCCACATACAGCGTATGTCCTTTATGTAAGTAAGGTTCCATAAGTGACATAACAATATTTCCCGATATTCCAATATCTGCATATTGGGGACTTATAGTACCAGATCCACTGTAAAAGATAAAGTCTTGTACATATCCTGTTTTACAATCGCAAAGGACAAAGGATTTTATTCCAAATCTATTCCTCTTTGATGGGATAAATTGTTTAAAAGATAGTCTGCCTTTATATAGAAGGAGACTTTCATCTATAAAAAGGTTTTGGTATGGATAGAATGCATCGCTAAATGATCTTCGTAACCTATTGATTACTTCACGTATTCTCCATAAACGATCAGAATTAGATTCATGATCATCAGCAAAATGTAACATTCTTAGTAATAATTTGTAGCGATCTCTGCTTGTTATCTCCCCAAATATGTCACTTCGCAACAATCTATTTTTGCTCCAATATTCATCCAGTGATAACTTTGTATTCCTTGTCATCAGTAGCGAAACAGCAAAAAAACAATATAGTTCATCCAGGTCTGTTCCAGCTGTAAGATCATTAGGATTTATTTGTCTCCAATAGTTGTTTGTTTTTTCAACAATGAATTCTACCAATTCTTCAGATACAAATAATTGGAAGTATTGCAGAAATTCCCAAGAAGAACTTATATTTGTTTGAATACCCGATTGCTGTTGTGTAAAATCATGAATTATTGGCTTAAATTTTTTCGAAGTCCATGTAATATTTGACGGGTTGGTACTTTGTACGTTAACATCATCAGTTTCTTCAGATTCTGATATACTTGGTACATTTAATCGCCTTTTTCTTCTGTATGCTGTGTTTATATATGATTCATTTTCATCACAGCTTTCCGAATCAGTCTCGTTCACCAGTTGCCGTTTTTTCAGATTTTTATACTCCATCTTAAAGAGGACAACCTAAACCACTTATTAATATTTGAAACAGATAGGTGGAATTAAAGATCTTCTGGACGTAACAACTTAGCAACCTGATTCACTTATTTTTCTGTATGTAATGTTATTGCTGATTAATTACTTTACTTTTAACTATGATACTCCACAAAAAGATATAAAACAAATACACTTTACTCGTGTCAAGAACTTTTTCTTGTCCGCTAGTCAAACGCGTGGTATCCAATTCGCGTATCGTGACTGCAACTGTCGCTAGCCAATGCGACGCGTTTAGTGGATGGCGGGTATAACCCGCGCTAGCCAGGGTGCAGTAAGAAAAATTCATTTTGATCCTAATTTTCGTTTTAATTCGTAAGACTGAGGATTGCTAAATGTAATCAATCTGTAATACATCTGAAATCATAGGTTAAGGCAGGGGTTCCCAGGGTTTTGCCTAGGTGGGCCAAATTGTAAATTTCAAAATATTTGGCGGGCCATTAACACAATTACGGCCATTGGCCGTTAAGACAATAAAATATATAAATCTATATAATAACAAGATATATTACATATAAAATTTAGTATTTTTTTAACTGAACAATTTTTAATTATATGTTAAAATTTATTTAGTTTTTTGTAAAAATCTAAATTATCTCTGTAAATTCAAGATCGCGGCTGATCTGCCATCGCGGGCCGCATTTCTAGGATTTGCGGGCCGCACTTTGGGAACCCCTGATTTAGTGGATGTCGAATATAACCGGAGCTAGTCGTGAAAGGGTTAAAAAGACGACACATTGTTTTTTATTTAAAACGGACAAAAATAGTAGATACATATTTCTTATGTATAATTCATTTACTATGTAGTATAATATAATATGCAGATTCTACAAACATTTAATTTACGTACTGATATTTTTTCATGATTTCTAACATTTTAGACATTTTACTTGTTGCTCGGCAGAATTGCCAGCTTATAAAGGCATCACGTTTTCCATTCCACCACGATAAATTATTTAACTCAGAGCCCGGAAACGTTTATTACATGCTGTACAATTACAGTCCTTTCTCACGTGAACTGAAAAAAAGTTGCATTCATCTTACTATTTCAAATCATTTTGATTCTGTCTTACAAAAATTTGTTTACGTATCTTCACATACAAAGCAGTTTGGTTCATCCATTTATTCTGTCAGATCCCGTATACGAACACTTTTTCACTTCGTGAAGAATTAGAAAGACGAAAAAAATTGAAGAAAAACTGAATATCAAACATACAGAAGTCATTGTTAAATTATTCGAATAATTATATTCTAAATTAATAACAGCAATCTGTTTAAGCAAATTCTTCTTTCTAGAATTCATTTATATCCATTAGAAGACTAAACTATCGTCCATTATTTCTGGACCAATCTAATGCGTTAACGAGATCAAAAAGACCATAATGAAAAGTCAAAGCAGCAAAGGGAAATAGAAAGAGAGAGAAAGGAGACATCGTGTGAGCTGATCGAGAGGTCTTCAGAAGGCTTCTCGGCGGAAAAAAGGGACAAAAGACCTCAGTTTAATCGAATTAAACTGTAAAAAGGCAAAGACGTTAGCTCACGAGAGTCTGGTAGCTCCAACCACCAGAGAAAAGAAAGAAAATTCTTAACATCTCTTTCTGTCTACCTCTACCTCTCCTATCCTTTAACGATCCTGTCACGCCACGATGATTTCTCTCTTCCTCTTTGTATACTCACAAGGGGTTACCTTCACTTTTCCACGAAATATTTATGACAAATAGCTTTCTCCTTTTGAAGATTTATAAAATATTACTGATAAATATTAATATTAAATCACTTTCCTTTTCTTTTCTCGGAGGTAGAACTCACTAACCCTAGAACATTTAAAGATAAAAATATTAATAATAAACCATTTTCCCTTTTTCTGAGAGATAGAACTCGTCAACCTTACAATTAAAACACAAACATGCAGAATACTGTGTTCCAAGAGATTTTCTTTTCCTATATATTTTTCTTTTTATATTTTCACTTTATAAGTATCATTAGATTCAATAAATGTGTGCTTACTGATTTGTTTTGAACTTAAAGTAAACAATTTTTTACAATTTTAATTATGACAAAGTTAATAAAAAAATACAAGTCCAGTGTCACGTGTTAATATTAATGTCATCAAAAGTTAATATTCGTATAGATAAAATTCCGAAATTATTGACAATAAATAATAGCTTCTTTTAAGGGTATTTATAATAAATAATGTTTCCTGTTGGGAATATGCAGTACTGGTTAAATATTAACTATAAGTAACATCTGCTGTTAAGAGTAGACAGAATTCGTGATCCATTAATAGTGAATAATATCCTCCTTCGAGGTAAGACTGAAGTCAAATGTTAATAAATAAATAATGTCTTTTGGGAAACGAACGAGCGAAATTCATGAAACATTAATAATGATCAATGATACGTATCTCTCTTTGGAAGTTGGGTTCATACGACAATAGTAACGCGAAATAGCTTCTTTTCGAAACAACTAGTATTTGTAAAACATTTTAGAAGCAAATGAAACTCCTAAAATATTTATGAAAAATAATATGAAAAATTAACCCCTTCACTTATAACAACGAGTTAGATTCGACGTATTCTGGTCTAGATGTGACAAATATAGTTACATTAGTAAGAAAAATGAATTTTAATCTTAATGGTTTGTAATAGATTAGCTTTTGTTACCTGACGCATTACTAAAACAGTAAATAGTTGACAAAAAAAATTTCAGGTTGAAGGATTAATAATATAACACTCCTTTTGACGATAATTCAAGAAATAACAGCAATCAGAGGTGATCAGAAAAGAATTTTTGTCAAGACCAATAGTCCGTCGAAATATTAAAATATTAATGAAAAATATCTTCTTTTCGAAACGAATAAAATACGAACTTCTTCTGCGAGAAAAACAATTGAAGTTTGGAAATAAAAAATGCTGCAAGAGTCATCAAACTTTCATATTTCTTATTATATAAAAATTTAAAATATTAAAATAAAAGATTATATAAAGTACTCGCGTAAAGAAAGTAAAAGAAGAAAAAATAAGATAAATGAATAACAGAAGAAAAAAGAAAAAAGTGAGTTTGTTAATAAATAGCATTTTGCTGACTAAAAATTCTTTTGTTGAAATTGTTATTACTGACACTTACAATCTTTCTTATGTCTCATCTTCAATGGACAATATAATACCCATTTTACGAATTGTCCATTCACCGATCAAAATTAACCACAAACAATTCTTTCCAAAAACAAATGGCTCGTCGAAAAGTGAACGTAAGGCAAATAAAGTAATACGCACAAGATCAACAATATTTTCAATACTGACAAATACTAAAAGAAGGATTGAGATTGAAGAATTTGTATGCTTCGAAACGTACTTTACACTTTCTGCACTTTGAAACATGAATAAGTTCTATACTTCCCAGACAGCTTCGTCTATCCATTACGTCCATAACAACGTATAAAAATTACGTCTTCAATCCATTAATTCTCAGAAGTAAGTTCAAGATAGTACTTTTCATTATAAACAGAAACACGCGTAAATAGGTAGTTACAATAAAAAAAAAAGAACAAAAATTTGTGACCTTGCTAGTGCCTTGTGATAGTCGTGCAAAATGGATTTTAACTGATAGGATGTTATTTCAAGTGAAACCATTTTGATAAATTTAGAGCATTTCATATTTTTACATACTACAGATGTTTTCGATCCGTGAAACTGCAAAAGATTACATAGGCTATTTAGGTATAATTTGAATACAAATAAAAACTAGGCTCTTATTTTGTATTAATAAATTAAAGACATAGAAGACGTCCCCTTTGTAACATAAATTGGATTAAATTGAATTGCTAAGGTAATATAATTTTTTTATTAGTTTTTGTAAAATGTTTCGTTCATGCAATTGTGGGGATTAATGGGTAAAGACGTTTCTGAAGTCGGCCCATCAACACACCTTGATTTGTAACAATGGACGGCGTTCAGACGTCCTTTGGACATCTTTAGGCTTTTACTCGACGTCTTTAACCCTTTCGCTCCGAAGGGCGTATATATACGCCCTCGAAGAATGAACATTCATACACGAGGAGCGTATGTATACGCTCTCGAAAAGTGGGCGCTCGGGTACGAAGAGCGTACATATACGTTCATACCATATATACTTTTGCTTCTTTTTTGTTTCTGCGACAAAATTATCGTTTGCCAAATTTCATTTAAATCTCATAAGACAGATATTGGAAACATATGGGAAACAAAAATCAGATATGAAATGTGCCTCGGTGTCGACTAGTCAGTAATGCGCTCCGTTCATAGCGATCATATTTTGTCACAAGCGCGCCGTAGCGAAAAGGTTAAGACGTTTACAAGACGTCTGTATGCTACCTGGGTTTGAACATATTTTGAAATCTCAGTATTACTGTCAAACTAGATTAATCACCTAGAAAAAAATTGCCACTCCTCCTCCCCCTTTCGATCCTCGTACGATCGATCACAGCTGCTACGCGACAACCTGTCTCACCTAACTTGCTTTTACTTTTCTCTCTCGTAGAGATCTACTAGAGCATTCCACAACTGTCTACTACTCACTGGCACCTTTCTTCACTATTAATCAGCAGGCTGTCCTCGTGTCCGTGGGATCGACGCTAGACACGTGGCACGCGCTCGTC